AATAAATCTGCAAAAATGTCAAATTCTGTGTTTTTCTGTCAATATGGGGTGCTGTGTGTACATTAATGAGGAAAAAAAATGAACTTAAATGATTTTAGCATATGGCTGCAATATAACAAAGAGTGAAAAATTTAAGGGGGTCTGAATACTTTCTGTACCCACTGTATGTCACTTCTAGTTCTTTCATGTCGGCTTGGTGCCTCTGCCCTTAGGCATGTATACAAGCTAATAAATAACTGGGTGTTTAGGGTGGCTGCTAAAAGTAGCTGTGTTTTCAGATGTTTAAACTAAAGAGATGTCCCACTTTGATCTCAATTAATAACCAGTGGGGCTGTACTGGTACAATTTCATCTTCCACTCAATTTGTATTTTCCAATACCAGGCCATGAAGTCCCTTGTACCTCTGTCGTTTTCTCTTTTTCGTTTTTCTTTTTTCTGAGCACCTGACTATTGTGACTGGCTGTTTGTGAGGTTTACATGTATGAATGCCCTGTTACAGCAGTGTGACAGACCAAACCATTTTGTTGCATTAAAGGGCGCAAAGAAAAACTAACTTAACTATACATATGGAAATGTGGTGGATAAAATCAACAAGGTTTTCTGTAACTCAGAAATACTATAGCCTGTTAAATTTCCAGAATTACCCCCCAGCACCTGAAACCCGATTGAGTACTACCTCCTGAAATTTTAGCTCCTGGAAATTGTCTCCTAAGTGGCAGAGGACAGTGGAAACCAAAACAGAACCTGAGATCAGGACTACAAATTCATTTATAGGTTGGTAAGTTGCTAACTGTTGAGCACAGCTGAAACACATTACACCCCATTCTGTGTGTCTTTGTGTCTATCAGGATGATATCATTGGCAAATATTTGTTAAGCATTTCATGTTTTGTTAAGCAACTGTAGTATTTAGGCTGGAGTTGCCAGCACAGCTGATATTATGGACAGCCAGTGTATCTCAGTGGGATCTGGGTGTAGCATGGAGGAAAATGCAACACACAGTGGAACGATTTTTAGCCTAGAGGAAGGGTTATGTCCTGCAGTTTCAAGCAATACATTAACTTCTTCTCTATTGTCTTTGATAAAGCTGTGGTTATCAGGAACATATCTTAATAACTAGAGATAAAAGAAGTGACAATGTCAGGATGTTTTCCATCCGCCACGTTGATATTATGAGGTGTAATGAACATTGCAGTCATAGGATAGCAAGCCAGTAGTGTGACTTCAGATTTTTCGTCTCATTTCATTCATCATTACAGACCCAACTAAAATGCGGAGCTTTAAAATACTGCCAAGATCTGCCTGAGGTGCTACCCAAAGTTTCCACAAGTGGTTTCCATCTTACCCTGCCTTCATCAGTTGAGCCTTTACAGTCTGACATCTTGGCAGTAGTGCAGTCTGCACACATCTTGTACACTTGGTCTATAATCATCAATGATGAAGGCTCTCCCTGCTCTCTCTTTTTTTCCTGCTCCACTTCAGTTTCACTTCCTTAAGTGTTTAAAGATGAAATCATAACTTTCCACATATTGTTGGTGAGCTGTAATTTTTCTCTTGTCGTCTCTGGACATCATTGTGTTTGAACAGCTGTCTAGCTGAATGAAAAAGTTCTCAGACTGGGTAAGAGCTTTAATAATTTATTTGCTAAAGTGATGAAATTACAAACGGGTAGCATGAAATGACAATTTTGCGGTATGAAATTACTTCACACTGCTGTTCTGGAATAGTTAGAAAATATGTGAAGGTGAAATCAAACTGAATGCAATGTGAGTTGTTACTGTTATTTCCATGAATTTGACAGCAGGTGTCTTTTTTGCAGTCAGTGTATCTTTTTTCTAACCCAACTAGCCAGTGGACAAACTGTACAAATGCAGTCTTGCCAAGTTATTATTACTGTATGTCAGGGGAAACTATCAGCACAGCCTGAACTGATTTTGTTTCCATGAGTTCACCACGTCAACAGTAACACCAACAGCTTGACTGTTTGCAAGGCAAAGGACACATTATACGCTTCAGTGTGTAAGCACACAGGGTGTACAGGTGTAGCAGTTGACATGAGACAAAACTGTTTGATTTAAATTGAACGTAACGTGTGAAATACTGTTGTAAAGGTGTGAATGCTGCCAGCAGACTGACGTGATTTGGTCATTTATAGCGGGTCTTGTTTCAGTTTTCAAAAATATAAAATCAGGCCGATTCCAAATAAGCTCTGTACCTTCTCATTCCAGTGGAAAAAACAAACAAACTTTGACTTATTTGGCACGTGATTGTACTTTTAGGATATTGTACATATGTTTATGTTCGGACATGCACAATATGTACTGTATATACAGTAGAATATACAAAAAACACATGTATGCTGTACATACACATGCCCACACAGATGATACCCAAAAACACATGTATGCTGTACATACACATAAATACATGGGTGCATACACACATATGCCCACACAGATGATACCCCAACATTTAAATCAGACTAAGGTGATCAGACTAAGATTAAGGTGATAGGGAATACATTATGTCATTGAGGGTCTTCCCATAGCTGTAGAAATGTGTGTGTGTGTTGACCAGATTTGATCTTGATTATATTTCTGTGTTGATAATTTTAAAACGAGACAGAGTAACCTGTGTGTGTGCATGCATTTGTTTGTTTTCTCTTACAGTAGACAGTTTGTGATAGTCTATTTTCATTTTTTACTGTCTTGTTCTATAACAAAAGAATAAAGAAAACTTAAGGATTTCAGTACAAAATATCTGCATTAATCAAGATCTAGAAGTTTGATTTCAAATGTCATTCCTTCACATTAATCAAGGCACGTCGATAAATGTTAGGTGGACCCTCTGAAAACACTGGCTCACCAGTAATAAGATGCAAAGAGATGTGATGACTGTGGGGTGAAATGTATCCATAGCAACAAGTTTCACTGTGTGGGAGGCTGTGAACCATTAAGGCTATGACCTAAACAAAAAAGTGCTAAATAAATGCAGGTTAAACACATCACACTCAACGAAAGACAAAAATAAACTAATCTTGCAAGTAAACATTAACAGGGTCCAAGCACCCTGGTGTAGTTTTATAAACATGACACTACTTCCTGGTAGAAACATGTTATTCCCCCCATTTGTACAAGTGTATATAAAGAAAGAAGCACACATGTGAACATGGCAGACTAAGTCCTTTGTATGTCCACTTGTGCAGCAGTGTAGTGTTTCATCATTTGAATAAATACATATATTCAGTATCAGACTGAAAACAAAGCCATGAAGTCGTGAGAACTGTCCACAGACCTGCAAGACAGACACAGATATGGGGAAGGATACAAGAAAATTTCTGCAGCGTTGACAGTGCCCAAGAGCACAGTAGTCTCCATCATTCTCAGATGGAAGAGATTTGGAACCGGCCATAATCTTCATCAATCTGGTTGTACAGCCAAATGGAGCAATCAGAAATGAAGGGCCTTGGTCAGAAAGGTAACCAAGAACCTAAGGGTCACTATGATTGAGATCCAGAGTTCCTTTCTGGAGATGAGAGAACCTTACAGAAGGTCAGCCATCAGCGCAACGCTTCCAGCACCTGGTCTGGATCCTCGTCAAACCTCGGTCACACTGATGTATCTCGGGCATGTGGCCATTTAATCTTCACCTTCTCACAGCTTGCATCACGTGGAGGTTCTGGTCACTGTGGAGTGCTTCTGGGACTGATGACACCTCTGTCTTTGCTGGCTCTAGGCCTGTGCATTGTGCTGCCTGCACTTCTGCAAAAACACTCACTCATTGTCTTATGTCCATGGCTCTTAGTTGTTAACCTTGAGTTTGTCTGGTTGGGGTGCTCTCGGGCTCCCCTGGGGAAGTAAATTCAAAGCTTGACCTGTAGATTGCTTTCAGTCCTTCATCTCAGAAGGTGTGGTCAGGGGTGCTAACCCATGCCTGCCCTGTTTGTTTTTCTGTGTGATCAACTTTCTTTCTAGCCATTGCCAAACTTTCTTGGCTGTCAACCACACTATTCCTGGTAGTTATAATGATACATCTTATGATGCAAAGCTAGAGCGCACCATCGGGGATATATCTGGACAGTTGTTTAAGACGTTTGGATTGTATACGCGTTTTTATTTGACAACACGGTGCCTCGGTATGTACTGTAAATAAAACATTTTATCACATCAGACTGTAGTAGAGAATAAATAAATCTGTGTTAGAACCTCAATTGGTAGTTTAATATTTTTAATTGAATCAAATTGTTTCAGTATTTTGATTGTTTTAAACATTATTTGTATAGAATCAGAAATTTGTGGGTAGAGAGAGAATAGGGTAACATTCAACAAAGGTCCCTGATCAGGCTCAAATTAGGAACATTAGTTACATGGTACTGTATGTTTCTGAAAGCACTAAGCCAACATGAGGCCCCATGTCATGTTAATTACATAGTGAAAGATTGTTATACCATAGAGTTCAGCCTGTTGCCGCTGAATTCATGTGGTGGGCCGCCTGGCTCTATTTAGCTTGACCTAATGGGTATAATTGGTCTTGTTTTCACTGGAGAAGATGGCATCCCATGATGGTCTGGATGTTTTCAGCCCAATATGAAGACACTTTTGGAGCAATACTGTGTATTTATTTTGTTTGGAAGGCTATCACATTTTGAGATGTTAGCCACATCAACCTAATCACTACAGAAATATTGGTTTTGGTGGCATCTCATCTCTCATATCAGCTAGATTTTTATTTCTGGCTGTTTGAAAGACCTGTCTCAACTGCCCAAGGAATAGTTAAACAACTGGACAGTTTAATGGGTGAGACAGTATCATGGTGTCATCACTTGGCAATCATAAATACAGCACACTCTGTTAGGGCTCAGGGTGACTTTCTAGTCTGGTATTTAGTAACCTTTTGTACAAAGTAATTAAGACTAATTGTAGGTGACTAGATGTTTTCCATAAGGTTCCAGGTTTTTTTTATATGGTGTGTGGATATTGAGAGACAATTGGTAGTATATCCAAAGACAAAATCATCAAATTAGAAAAAGCAATAAAAGCATATGCAAGCTAGATTAATGTTAAAATAATGTGCATACCCTCTACGTGTATTAGTAAAAACATTGCTGGGTTCATTTATAAATATCTGATAAACAAAATGTATAGTAGCTTGTTTTTTTTCTACCTAAGGAGCACGCTGGCTTTGGTCATAAATGTTCTCAGTCATAAAAGCTTTCACAAAGGCTGTGTGTTCTTTCCCTGAAGTGAAGGCCTACATTTTGATTTGAATCAATACGCTTGCTATCAGAACACAATTCGTTTTATAAAGTAAGCATTCTGTCAAAGCATCCGTGTTGGGTTTCTCTAAGTGATTCCCTGTCTTGTGTTGTCTCATCCAGGGATCTACCTGTTGGACATGATCTACATCGACTCAGCCTATCCTGCATCAGACAGTATCATAGAGACAGAGCAGCGGACCAATCAGATGAACAACCTTCTGAGGATCATCTCTGACATGCAGATGTCATGTAACTATGGTAAGAAACACATGAGAAACAAATGCATCATCCAGTAGAATGAATATACTACATGCTTGCTAGAGATGTATTAAATTCTGGTTACATTTATTGATGTAAATTCATAATACAGAAATATTAACTATAATGCAGCAATTTAAGATGGCTGCATCTATACCACTAAATACTACAAAGGTAAAGAACCAGCTAACAGTGCCAATTCAAAATCCATTTTCTGGTATAGAATCAATGACTTTCAAGAACTTTCTACACACTGTAGTGTAAAACCAGCTTCACTTTAATTTTATTCTTATTATCACCCAAAGTAGAGAGTTTAATGGTGTCTACACACATGTCCTAGTATGGTTATGTTTCTATTTCACTGAGTTTAAAACACTCCTGTAGCGTTCACCCTGACGCTGATAAGCTAAGAGTCCTCCTGTTTTTGAGTTTTCAGTTTTTCTTACACATCTCTTCAAACTCTGAGATATTCTTAGATCAAGTTTTAGAGAACGTCAGGGGACTGTGAGGGTTGTTCCAAAAGCTTCAGTTTGTGTTTCTTGAAGTAGTTCATGGTGGATTTGGAAGTCTGCTTTGGATAATTGTCCTGCGGTAGAAGCCAGCCTCTTGTCACTCCGACTTGACTGACTACAGGACATTTACATGTAGTTCAAGTTCATATTAAACTTGCAAAAATACTAGTAGACATACTCATTTGTTTGTTTTGAACAACACTAATGTTGCACTTTGCAAATTTACTTCTTTTCACTTAAAAAAATCTAACTATTTACCCAAGATTGCATATGAATGTATTTAACATTTCCTCAGGCTGTGACAACAGTGCTGTTGGTGTGGGCCAGTGAGTCTGACTCAGGCCCTCCACAGCCAAGTGTCATCTTTAAACCCAGTCTGAGTTCTGTCAAAACATTAAAAAAATGTCATATGGTTTTGTACATTTCTGTCCAACCACCAGCTGTTTATTTTGTGTGGAGAGCTGTTCAATCAAGACATTTAAAGCGATAAATACAGTAGGAATAGCCTTTTATCAAATTCAAATCCATTATTAAGCCCAAATCTTTTCAAATCCCTTATTGGACACAAAAGGTTTTAAATGCAGCCTATTTAATTTATAACCTGAAGCTTCAATCTGAAAATGAGATGAGCAGCAGAAGATGTGAAATGTTCAGTTGAATGTATTTAATGCATTCAGTTATAGTTTGATCTATATCTGCAATTACACTGTAGCCTTTTGTATTTCATCAGTTACTGACTGACATCCTTGAAGTTTTGTATAAAATTCCCTCATGAATGTCAGTGATTCAGATTATCAAGCGAGCCACAGCCACTTTTCTTTTCCAGCTGTCACTGCACACAGAGTAATGCAGGATAACAACATGAGAGACTGTAAACCAAGCCTTGTCTCAGAATGACTTGTTGACTACAAAGCTGTAATGGAAATAGCAATTGGTGATGGAAACCGAGGGCAGTGTGACTTGTTCCTGTTCACTACACACAGCTCTGGGGCTGACTATTAGTGAAAGCAGCTAAATTGCCATAGGAGCTCTTAGGAGAGACACCCCATGGTGCTTTGAATGAACTGTGAGCAGGACACATACTTTTTGTCACAGATGATGAACAGAGGCATTGAAACATGATTCTTACAGGCAAAATGTAAATCTCATCAAAACATCTGCAATACCAAATTACCAGGCCCAAGTTAGTGGGACTGGTGAGTGAGAGGTCATTTTTGTTCAAAAACATGATCTGAGCTGGTTTACTAAACTCCTGTAACTTTAAGTATTTTCACTAGTGTTTCTACCTCTGTTGTTGTTATGGTTGGAGGTGTGGATCTCTGAGATGTTGAAAATTATAACCACCAGCCTTGATGCAACTAATGTAGGAGCACTGTCCTCAGTATTATCCACAATATTTCTCCATTTCACAGACATGATCATACTGTATATCTTCTTCCTCTTATGTGCTGTTATTATTATTATTTGCATTTGTATTGCAGTTTTTGGGATTTTTTTTAATGCATGCAAAAGAAAGTATTCAGATTAAAAGACCATGACTGGTTTGTGTGTGCACACATGCCTTTTTTGTACCTGTTGGCATTTGTAGCCCACTACATTACCTGTATTTCATCAAGTGGATATTTGGAGCTGTAATCACTGAGTCCATGTCTCTTATTCTTTTTTTTGTTTCCTTTAGTCAAAATAACTGAAAGCAAATCCTATAGACAGTGTGAAGTATGCTATCTAAGGTGACTTCCTCCAGCCTTTCTTTCTTTAGATCATCTTGTGACCCTGCCGCATGTCCAGAAGTATCTCTTGTCAGTCCGCTACATAGAAGAACTACAGAAGTTTGTAGAAGATGACAACTTCAAGTAAGTGTTATCTCGATGACTGGCACTGCAGAAGAGGTAGTAAACATTTACACTCATGAAATGATCTGTGTTTAGGCCCATTACAGGATCAATACTTTCTATTCTGGACACTCTTTTGGGCTTCTTTTAGCCCTCTGACAGTCAGAACACCAAGACATTCACTCTGTCCATTTTGGTCATGACAGGCCTGTCTCTAGCACATGGAAATATTGAAATAGACGTGAAATTGACAGGGGTCAGTGCACAGGAAGCAGGATGTAAGGCTACAGGCATCTGCTTTTAGCTTTCTTCACAGAGAGTTCATTCATCAAGCAGACAGTGATGACTTTGGCAGGCAGTGTCTCACGTCCTTTATTCAGAAACAAGTATTGCTGTCTGCCACAGCTCTTGACACTTTGGATTTAACACTTGATGTTTGTGGTGGGATGTCATTTTAGTGCTCTGGTTATATTATCTGAGGTTGATCTTTATCAGACTGCAGTTTTCAATGTGGTTGTGCTCAAATGATAGATCAGGCTGGCTCCATTTTATTGTTCTCTCCAATTAGGCTACGTTCACATTACAGGCATTGTTGCACAATTTCAAATCCTGATCTTTTTAAGTTGGTGACTCACTCTTCATGCAAATGACGTATCTGGCTTTGGTGTGATTTAACTGAAAAATGAGCCCTGTGTGTACAAGAATAACCATATCATTTGTGCAATGGTCAAATTGTGCAATTTCCTCAGAAACTGCCTAGTAACATTGTTCCACCCAGTTTGGCTTGATCAGAAGCTTCTCCATAAATGTCCAACATGTAAAATAAAATAAAAATCATCATCGTTCCACTGGCCCCTGTCGCTGTTGTTGCTCTCCTCCATGTTTATTGTTACCAGTCTGTAAGAGGCTGACACTGAATGATGACGACAGGCCATATGTGCAAAGGATGGAGGCATTAAAACAAACCACATGAATTCTGACAGTGCTCGCATAGACAGAGATCGGCTAAGAATATGCAAGTGGCCAAGATCTGATCTGAAAAATTTTGATTTGTTCACACATCCATGAAAAGATCAGATCTGAGTCACTTGAAGGGGAAAAATATAACTCTGACCTAAATAATAAACATATAATCAAATTTATACATTTCCAACTATTTCACCAAAAATGGAAACTTTATGAACTTGATCAAGATGCTACAGCAGAACTGCTTTTACATTACATTCAGTTGTACAGTACTTGTATACTTAATAAAGTGCTTGTGAGTGCAGATGTCCACCGGTTTTGTCTGCTAGCTGATTTTGAAATGACTTTTCTCTCTAAAACCTATTGTCAGGGTCTTTATTTTAAGAACATTTAACTTTTAACCTCTTTAAGACACAGACTCCACTAGCTAAAATTGATATCTGAATATTTGCTGCAGTAGTCTAAAACGTGCAAGTGGAGAGCTCCAGGCTGACGTCTGTTGTATAGTTACTTTATCAAAGAGACTATTGTGTTTTTCTTTTGAGTAATATTGGGAAGATCAGTAAAAGAGAGCCTTGAATGTGGGACATACAGTGAGGAAAATGTTCTTCAGGGTTAGGGTTAGACTGAAGTCATTCAAAGCTCTGCGTGTCAGACAGGCCAAAGGGTACCTTGCATGTGTCTGGCAGGTTTGACATAGCATCAGTATTTGACAGTCTGGCAGTGAGAATGGGTTGAATAACCAGAGGGCACCATTAACCTGTGCACACATGCACACTGACATTAGAGAGGAAATCTGCTTTCCAGACCTGTGTTTTTGAATTAAAATTGAAATGTGAGAGGAGCTTTTTTACAGAACATGTGTAGGCGAGTCCCCTGAGCCCCACATCAGGTCAGTAATGTGTTAAATCAAGAGTTGCTTTGGGGGTCAGCTGGCTTTGTCCAACATAATGGAGGCACCAGTGAAAAGCAGTAAATTACAATCTGCTGCACCATTTTCTATTGTTAGAGATGAAATGGAAAAACAGGCCTACATCATTAGGCTCAAGCATCATAGGTCAAATTCGTCCGATTACTTTTGAGAACGGGGGCGTTGTTTATAAAAATTACCATAATTCTAAACAGTTAAAGCAATATTTTTGTTAAATCCCTTGAATTCAAGCTGTAGTAACATATTGACTGCTTCATTTCAGATCCATTGTCGTAATGTACAGAGGCATAATTACAAAAATTCTTACTGTCCAAATACTTATGAACCTGACTATATATAGTTTAGTCTATAACCATGAGAGCCTGGACTTATCCTGGGGTCAAAAAAACAAAATATCCAGATAACCATAGCTGGCATCAAAGTTCAGCATTACTCATTTTATATTGAATCTGTTAAGCGATGTACAAAGACCCCCCCCCCCCCAAACAGACAAACAGCTGTGGTAACGGTTGATCATATTTTTAGAGTTGAGGTTGTCACAGAAGACAAGAAAGAAAACAGATACACAGATGAAATCAGGGCTGATTGTGTGATGTAATGTAGACATTAAACATGTGTTTGAAGTTTGCATGGCCCTCCCTTTCTCTTCTCCTTTGGAGCCAGCTCTGTAAGCATTCATAAACACAACCAAACCCAGTTTCAGCACTTAATGACTATTTAACCTGAGTTCTTTCCACCCAGTGTTTAAATAGTTTCCAAATAAAAACTTTCCAATTTAGCCGGGAACTACATTTATTGGGAGTATTCCCTTTGCTGGTAGATGAAATAAGAATATGCAGATAATAGGAGAAGCCTGTATCTCCAAGTTCATACTTGCATTCTTGGGAGATTAAAGTTTCTGGTTAATTAACTCTGTGAATACACTACTGGAGTTCAAATCGCCACAGTGTGTTGTGTGTTTCTGTCTGGACAGGAGAAATATTAACTGTTCAGTGAGCAGCTTTGGACTGGTGTCTGTAATGGCAACCATTTCTTTTGCAGGCTGTCTCTGAAGATTGAACCTGGCAATAGTTCCCCTCGCATTGCTTCTTCTAAAGAAGACCTGGCAGGTAAGACACGTGCTGCTAATTTCGGCACCTATTTTTAATTTGGCTTTAGTGGATTGTGGATTTTTAGTGGATTGTAGAGGAGCCCATTTTCTCCGAGAATGTAACATGAGATGAACAAGAGAGAATGTTACTGAATGTAAGATGGAAGCTTATTAACCATCAAGGGGCTCAATCACCAGATATATAGGAAACTGTTTTACTTATCAAAAGTTAGTTTGTGACTTTGAGACTTTACATTAAAGCTGCATTAACTAACTTCTCGCTCTAATTTTTTACCATTAATAGTGAAGTGAGTGTCAAAAATACGCGAGCAGTGTCCCCTCCTCTTCTCCCTCTGCTCCTCCTTGCCTTCCTGCCCTGTCTCTGCAACTACATCGTATGTGGTCATTACAGCCGGAGACAGCTGTGGCAGTCAGATAGCGCAGCAGTAATAACCAGCTCCAGAACTAATGCATATGGAATATAGAGCACATATTGTCAGATAAAGTGGCTTCCATTTTAGTGATATGATAATATTTATGTATTGTTGTCTGTAACCGATGTATCTGGAGTAACACGAGCAAATTATACAGAGGAATGTTTTTTCCCCAGTAATACTGATGCAGTACTAATGTTCCAGCCACTATTGCATCACGTTCAGTGTTACGTACTTGATACACAACTGTAAGTTGTATGTGGAATAGGAAAGTTTACATTATCAAAGTTACACTTTGATAGTTGAACTAACTCCCCACTTTTCTAGTTGTGTCAATGGCGTAAATTTTAACGACGACTCACTAAAATTACTCATGGACTGCAGCGTTACGTCTGACATAAATTGGACCAACACTGAGTAGAAGTTAGCTAAATTATTTCATTTGGTTAGCCCTAAATTACTCATACACTTAATGTACCTGGCTGCTTTTCATAAATTGGCAGTGGTTTTAATAATCTGTTCTGTGTATAAGTGTATGTTAGATTTGTATTTATGTAGTTTGATTTCTACAGATTTTCAGCCTGGCTGAAGAAAGACTCAGCTGAGGAAATAAACTGAAAAATTGTAGAAGTTTGACATGCTGTGGTTTCACAGTTCAAGGTAGTGTAACTAATAAACAGGGAGCCTGGCTAACTGCTTTGATTTATTTTTAGATAAATGAACTCATGCCATTTACGGCCACTTAAGCCAGTTAATTTTTTACTGGAACTTAAACTCCTGTAGAGGTAACAGTTGACTAAAATTCCCCTTGAGCCAGTTAATGATGCAGCTAATAGCAGTATACCGCAGCTGCACGTAGGCCATTCCACATAAGTGTCCTCTGGGACTGAATATGCTGATCTTTTTCCATAGACTCATGCCTTACAGGTTGGCCAGCTGCATGGTGGGAATTGTTTGTAATGATTACCATAGAAACTACTGGTCTCTCTCTCCTTCTCTCTCCCTTGTGTTCTCGCTCACTTATCACACAATTCGGTATAATTACAATTAAGACAATTTGGAGGCATTAATCTTCATAGAGGGACAGAGTCATTATGTCCTTGTTACTGGACTGCGGGAGGGCTGTGCACTGAAACAAGGAAAGGTTTCCATTTCAGTGCATGTGAATTACAAAGGCATCTTTCTGTTCCAAGAGTGTAAAGTGATGCAGTCACTGTAATACACAGGATGTCGGTGAATCAGTAAGGAAGGAAGTGTGTGTCTGAGCTATTACATGACAAAGCTCGGCTGGAAACGTGATGTTGCCGCAGGGTCAACATAACAACATAAAAAAAAAAGGCTCAGGTTCCTGTTATTGTTACAAGATATTTTTTCCTTCTATAGGTGTATTTTTCTCACCATTACTACATATAATGTTTCATATTTTCTAATGAAAAGCATATTAATGCTGTGAGAGAAGACTTTAAGCACAGCGATTACCTTGGTAGGAAGCACTTAGAGTAACCGCGCATCCTTCTAATCAGCATTGGTTTAAAGAAACCTCTTTCAAACTCATAATCAGTTGAATGGTGTGAATTGTAATCCTCCCACTGACTGACTGGCTCAGTGGGTGGCCTTGAATTTCTGCAGAGAGTCGTGGTAGAATATCCACTCTCACTGTACTGTAATCCAGGACTGGAACATGTACCTACACTCACTGAAATATTATTGCTATAATTTACCTAAATTACAAAATTTCTTAATCAGTTACACCCCATATTGTACAGATAAAGGTTAATTTTGTCATGGTGAATTCTCAGTCTCTCAGGACAGTGCAGTTTCCCCAGGAGCTTTGTCAACCTTGAGAAAATCATCTTTGTAAGGGTAGCTTGACCCAGGGACAGTCTCTCTGCTGCTTCCATTTTCAACATGTTTGACATCTGTTGCTTTCTCATCTCATGAAATGGTTTGACCACATGTATTAATCCACACAGACACTGAAACACAACTCACCACAGGGATGAAACTTTAATACATTTACTGAGCTATTTGCCCACAATTGTAATGAAATTGGAACTATTTGGGTGAAACCATTTTGTAATTTTACCATGACCTAGTAATTTGCACACAGTTAAAACAATATTGCAACCAGTTCTTGTGGAAAAATCATATTTTTCTTTGCAAAAAAATCAAATGTACTAATGATTACTCTAATTAATGAGCAAATAATGATCTTCCTTATATTTTATTTCAGTTAAGTAACTTAATAAAACATTTTAAATCATATTACCAAGATAAATATGATTGTAGTGTACCATAAATAATTATTAAACAAAGTGGGCCTATAAAATATGAAATTTATTGGTTAGTGGCTTTATATATTAAATTATAGTTGTAGTAATCATTTAAATTTCAAATCGAGTACTGCAGAGATTTGTCACCAAATGACATAATATTAGTAACTTATTGAAACATTTTAAATCATGTTACTGAATTTGATCCTGTTTATTATTTGATTATTACGTATTGAGTTATTATTAGTACATTTGATTTTTTGCAAAAGAAAATATATATTTTTTCTTCAGAGTAATTGGTTATAACATTGTTTTTAGTAGTGTGCAAATTAACAGGTCATTATCTTAAAATTACAAAACGGCTTCACCTAAATAGTTCATTTCATTGTACTTGTAAACAAATAACTAGGTAAATATCTTTATGTTTCACTAGCTGGTTGCACATTCATACAAATAGTTGAACAATTTGGGGGTAATTACCATGTAATTGGGAGCAAATAGTGGAAATAATGGAACAATTATTGGGTAAACATTATGTAAGTAGTGGCCTGTAATTTACTAGGTTACCTTTTTCCTTCTATGTCTGTTCTGTATTTTCTTATCATCATTTACTGTCGATATCAAAGAGAAACCTGCTGTTCTAAATGAACTGTTCTGACTTGAGTGATGGTGTTCTCTTGTTGGCCACATGGTCATTTGGAGTTATATAATAAGCTGTTCTGGCTGTGTCCACTAGCTTGTTGGCTCATTCAGCACAAGCAGATCTCATGCACATCACACACTGCCAAAACATAAGAATCTGGTTTACTCACTCTCTCCATGTACAACAAGCGAGTCTAAGATGTCATGGTGCATTGAGCAGAACATGTGCAAGAACGAAAACAAGAAATCCCACGTGACATGATGTATTCCATCATTTCATACACCAGTCTGCACATAAGTGTGGAAAGAGGGTGGTGGTGCTGTATGTGACTAGCTGTTCCCATCCTGAGAGTACTCGCTCATTTGAATGAAATGATACAATCGTCTGTCATAAATCGTCTTTGGGAAGCCTGTGACTGAACTTCTTGTAACTCAAGTTTAATAGCACAATCTGGCTAATTTGTGCAAGCTGTTTTGCAAAGTCTTAGCAGCAGTTGAAGTAGCTGAGTAAGCAGACACGTGTACATGATATGAGCTAAGAGCCAACACAGTACCAGTCACCTGGACTTTTTAAATTCCTTTCTGGACATGTCCGCCTCTGCTGGGGATCACAGCTGTCCTGTCTCTCCCTGCTTTGCTGAACCATCCCTAGCATGTGTGCATTTCAGTCTTCCTCTCTGCTGTATGATAATAATATATTGACAAGTATTAAGCAAAACCTGGCACATTAATAGTCACCTAATTACACATGGTTGGCAGATAAAGGTAAAAATCCAACTTGTGTAAATAAAGTGCTGTTGAGGCTCTTGAACGGCTTGTGTCGCTAACCACAGATTCTCCAAGTGTGTGGAATTTTACTGGGATGAAAATCATTTTTCAAAAATATCCTTTTACATGCAGTAGTGTTTTGATGGTGGTGGTGGAGAGCGTTTTCTAAATTGTTCCATTATTGTTGAGCTGGGTTACGATTTATTGACTGAGCCGTAGCATATGAGTCTGCTTACAGTATCTAGTGAGCTCTCACATTTCTCATTGAATGCAGTTAGTTTTAGCTTCAATGTTTGCAAAACAAAGCTATCAATGACCAAAACTATAAGATTCAGTTCAGGCCTGTAATCCCTTTTTGGCTCAAAGATAAGCACAGCCTACATGTTCTCAGATTTAATGTATCTGACACATTAGTTTTCACAGGTTACTTCATCCTAATACTGGGGGCACATCATGCAGAGCTTCATCTAATAATAAAAATATAAGTAAAAAAAGTTAACTGGGACATTCTGACACCTGAAATGAACACGATATAGTTAGCATGTTTCACCAGAGAAGTCATCACATTCAGTGGGATTCTTTCTTTGAGTACCACAGATATCTAACATAATTAGTGGAATGAGTTTAGTGGATTAATCACTAAATAAGAAAGGAAGGATAACGTTTGCATATTTTACATTATGTACTTTGAATATTTTACGTACATGTCCTAATTTGCATTATTTTGCCACATTATTGCTCCTGATTATAAAATTATAGATGAGTAAACAATTTTTCACTGCAGCAGTCCTGACTTTTCACAAGGCTCTTAAGGCTCATAGTATTTATTACCACGTAATAACAGCATACAAGTCTGATGTGTTACTGTATGAATATGGTGAAACCAGACAGTCCAGCTTGGT